TATATAGATAGATAGATAGATAGATATACAGATAGATAGATAGATATAGATATAGATATATAGATATATATATATGCTTATGGAAATTTATGTATGAGAACGAATATCTTCACTATACAAGAGATACATTTTACCGGTTTCGATTATATTTTCCTCAGAAATACATGGATATATATATGCATAAACATATATATGTAAATGTAAAATATATATATATATATATATATATATATATATATATATATATATGTGTGTGTGTGGTGTGTGTGTGTGTGTGTGTGTGTGTGTGTGTGTGTGTGTCTGTGTGTGTGTGTGTGTTTACATATGCATACATAAATATATGTATGTATGTATATGTAAACATATATATATATATATATATATATATATATATATATATATATATATATATATATATATGGAAGAAAAACCCACAATGCACAAACTAGATANAATGAGCTATTTTAGGTGCATTTTTAAGCGATAATTCATAAAAGACAAGTTAAAAGTTGTGGTTAAAATTTGTGGCCGGGAGGGGAGCCAGACCTTGAGGGGGATAATACAGCCCCTGACCCCCCCCCCCCCCCCGCCATTGATGCCCATGCTGTGGACCTACAGGACACCAGCCTCCTGCAGCTCTAAAACCTGAACTTTCATCATGACTGCAGCCATGGTCATTGAGAAGAGCGATCCTGGTAGCCTGCCCATATATGATTTCCACTGTATTGAAATTTGCTTATAACAACACAGTCTGACCTGCTGTACACACACTGTAGTCAGGTGGCCCTCAACCAGCGACAGATTTAATTAAGTCTCTGGTTCCTTGAGAGAATGGTCTTTGGGTTTTCTGTGGTCTGTTCGGAGGACTAGGTTCGCTGTGCGCCTGAACCTTCTTTTGGGTCTGGGGCTTTAGCTTCTGGCCTTGGGTTATGTCTCAACCTCTGGGACTGCCGCCTAGGATGGAGTAGGATGGGAGGATGAATCTTGCTATGACAACACCACTCAGTAAGGATGTCAAGTCCCTTATAGACATTAGAGGACTCTATGACGCTCTTAGACCCCTTGATCTCTTGCGGCACTTACAAGGAATGTTTGTATGAGAGAAGAGGATCCTTCTTCATAGTATAAGAGGGCGCACGAAGCCCAAGGACCCGCCTCCTTTATGACAAAGCAAGCAAGACTAAGACGGTGAACCCTGGTACAGATTGCACAACTGACAGTGGTGTTCCTTTGGCCATCCTTGTGTGCTTTAAGGCACACCGGTGTTGTGCAGCTTGTTGGATATGCTGGCACATGGTCTTACCTCCGGCCCGTAAGAACCCATGCCTGTCACTCATATCACCAAAATGATTACAACACCATATGTCCTAAGTTAATTGGGGCTACCCTCTAATGTAACCAGTACCTGCCCTGGTATGGGTCTTTCATTCTGTAAGGTGGAAGTGCTTGCGGTTTTAGGATGTGGCAAGATCATATTATGGCAAACGAAAGTCTTCCATCTTGGCTTGCTCATCTTGACCACTTTTAGGACCAGTAGGACATCGAATGTAAACATTCACTCATTTATCATACTGGTGTCCTTATTTTACACGCTGCACAGGTTTCGTAACTCCTTTGATCCATGTTTAACTTGCCTACAACTGGCAAACACGAATATATCCTTTGATAACACCAATGAAGGGCCATAAAATTACCCATCAATGTCTTGTTGTTGCCTACAACTGTTATTGTTTACAAAAGCTATTGTGACGTCATCTCATTCTGCTCGCCCAGCTTCGCAGGAGGAAGAGGCGGACGAGATGGGCAACTTGTCCAGGACCAGATGGTAGAGGTTCCGAACGGTCAAGACATCTTGGCCAGCTGGTCTGGACGAAGCAGGGACGAGGAGTTCCGAACGCAGCAAGTCATAATATAGATGCGTTTCTTTCCATCGGTGAGCTCAAATCCGATCCAAATGCAGGTAGACTGATCTTTGGAGAGGATTATCGTGCCTTCATCTTTAGCATTGATAGCAAAAACCTACCTTTGTCTGGACTTACTATTGCATGTACATATATTACTATAAGATGTTCAGATCTCTCCACCGATCTTAATATGTGATGGTTTATAAAAATAAATCATATTGGTCAAACCTCATATTTAGCAGATATTGGTTTATTTTTTAGATTTCCTATTCTTACAAAAAAGGGTATAAAACATCAGATGTGTCTTTAACATTAAGGTCTCATATAGACAATAAACTGGCAAGAGCTTAGTTTACCTTCAATTATAAACCAAACAACTTCCTTTTATGCTTTCAGGATACTGTTTTTCAGCTAAATTCCCAAACTTCACATTGTTTTAATTGTCTCATGAATTTTGTATCCTTTGCTCATAAGTACCCAACATTGGGATTTCTCTTATCTGTAATACTATTTACCAAATAAATGAATTGAAAACTAAATTAGTTGTGCTGCACTTCAAACTAGGGTGGCCTGCTCTAAGCAACTCCAGGATAAGGTCATTCTGGGATAAGTACCTTGATATTCAACCAGTATTTTTTTTTTTTCTTCTTTTTTACTGAGACAATAGAGGCTTCAATCTAAAAATCTTATACTTCCCATAATACTCAAATGATATTCACAAAAAAGTGCTATCTGCTCTCAACAATTCCTAGATAAATTCAGTCTAGGTTCAGTACTTTGATATCCAACCTGTAATTTACTTCATTACTGAGACCTTATGTGAAAATCTAAAAAGTTAATATTAAGTAGAAAGATGTTCCCCCAAAAAATCATTATTTGGCCTAATCATCACCAACTTTTGTAACAAATATAAATAGGAATACTTCATATACTGCCAGTTCCTTTGTGGGAACATCTGTCAAGCAGTACTCCTCTAACCGTACATACTTGTAACACAGAGAGTAAGTCATATAGGTTATGTTATGGCACTGATATCACTTAGAGCAGTGTAGGTCAGACCTTTTTCATCACATTCAAGTTTGTTTTCATTATCCAGACTGAATATCTCCTCTATTAGTGTCAGTAGAGGTTATAATTCTCTTCATTCAACTTGATTTATTTTTCCTTCCTTTATTGTTTATATTTATTAATCTGTGGATTATTCAGTTATGATATTATTACATTTTTTGCCTCCTGTTTTCATTCTGTGTTAACTGTGTGAATAAAAAATATATATATATGGATAACCACATTTTTCATTTCATGAACAGGATCAGTTTCAACAACACAAAATAAAACACATTTTCTTTCTTTAGTACTTTACAAAAAATAATTACACTGTACGAAAATGGAATTAATGCAATATTAACCATACTTTGTATAGTTAAAATGTGCATAGATCACTTTTCCAGAAATGGAATGCAGTCAAAGAGATATTTGTATGATAATCCCTGACATTCTGTTGTTAATTCTATATTTTACAATTACTAGAATAAAAAAATGCTGGCAGTAAGTTTGCTTTTGAAGGACCAAAACTTAAGTAGTTACTAGTGGTAACTTTAGCCATGTTCAGAAAAAAGGTGATGAACAATGCTAATGATTAAATGGTTTTGCATAAATTATATTTAAAGTGTAACATGGAATTGGAATGAACTTTTGGATGACCATTAAAACTATAAAAATGCTTTCTTTTATCTTAGCAAACTCTCTTCAGTAGAAAGAACATGGATGGCTGCATAGGAATAAATATGATATCAAAGTATACCTATTGTAGTTAATGTGCCTTAACCCCAAGCTGCCAGGCATGGCATGCACATAAATGCCATTGACCATTGTGGGTGTTGAATTTAGCAATCGTTTTTACATACAGATAGGTTCACAAGTACTAAGACACCAATGAGCCAATTACGAGAACTACCTGTCACACCTGTTTACCCTTTTCCTTGATTTTCGATAATATTTTCTAATTGATAATACTGCTGTCAGTAATGTCAGTAACAATATAGTAATTATAATGTGTATAATAAAAATAACAGTGTCAATAATGATATCATTAGTAAAAAAAAAAAGTTTTTCCTGCTCTTTCAAGGAAAATTGAGGTCGCAAGATCTACTAATTGACTCCTATGTGGCTAAGCATTGGCAGAGCCATCTATGTGCAGAAACATTTAACCAAGCATTGCCAAAGGGAACACACTATTTTCCCGTCGACATTGGATTAAACCTTTTTTTTCATGCGAAATCCTTTGCTGAACATTAGATTGATCATTTGCAATCTCTTCCATGATTAAAAGGCTTCCTTCACAGAGGTTGAAACACATGTGATTTCAGTAATTGTTGATTGGCAACTCTATGATGCAAATCCAAAGCTTGCCAGGAGGAAAGCATACTTTAGTTATGTGTCCTATTTAACTGTATGGGATTAGCATTTATTCCACCTTTTACATGAAGAAGTTTGTAGAGGCCTCGTGATTGTACTCGTGCCAAATATATTTCATAATATGGAATTACAGTTTGAAGTACTGCCCAGTCAATTTTCAGACAAATAAGAAGAATATTTCTCAAGCAGTTTCATAGTTGAACACTAAGCAGAATTAAATTATGCATTTTTTCACTTTAAAAAATCCCACTAAATCTAAATAATGCTATGCTGTCCAATATTATCGGTAGTTTAGTATAGATGAATCTACAGATAGAATTATGAGATCTGATTACTGACATGTCTATCTGAGCTATTGGTCATTTGGGACTTCCAATCTAACTTCAGTAGCACTTACAAGGTCACTAATAATCTTTTTCTTCTCTAATTAAATTCCCTCCCCCATTATACTTATGAATCAGCAGGTCTTTGATAGCCCAATTCTATTCCTTCCCCCCCCCTTAAAATCCAACACTGTCCAAATTTTGCCTTTTTTACTACTCCCCACAATGAAATAAGAAAAGCTGCAGTTCAGAGTAATGCCACTATAAAAAGTAAAAAAAAACAAAAAACAAAAAAAACTCAATACTGGTAATCTTATGTCTCTTCCTTTTCCAAGGGACAATCATATAAAACAAAATGTATAAAAAAAGAGAAATTTAATGATACCTACAATTGTTTACACCATTATCACAAATGAGAAGAAGCACTATGGCACCCATTCGTCAGAGTCTTGTTCCACCTCAGTTTCACTAGATTCCCCTTGTGCCCGCCTCCTTCTTCTCCTTCTTCCTTGTGTTCTTTCCCTTCTATTCCTCTCTCTTTGTCTTCTTCTCACATTACCACCTTCACTGTTTTCACTGTCACTTTCTGCATAGCTGACAGACCTCCTATTATGGACATCTCTCTCTCTTATCTTCTTAACAACTTTCAATTTATTGGGTGCATTTTCATCCGTCTCTATTTTTTCCTTCAGGCGGTAGGAAAAGATGGTGTACTGGTTCCCTTTATACACAACAATGTTCAAGATGTCTCTGTCCATGTGAACACTGAGTCGGTTGGTCTCAATATCCCCATCAACCGTGGTAGATATGTCCAGTTCATCAAGGAATTCATAAGAGTAACTGTCATAGAATGTAACCTTCACCAGGTGTGTACGACAGTTTTCCTAGCAAAGAGATGGAAAGAATATGAAATATCACATACCTTCATAAAGTAGCATTAAACTTACAAAATAAAAATTAAACACTGTTTTTTCAAGCTACTGACCTAGTTATTTCTCAAAAGCAAAAAAATTCACAAGAACTTGAACTGAACAATACATGTATTAAGTAGCAATAATACTTTGACTCCTGTAAACTGAATCACCACTCTTGAACAATTACAATCCTCCAACTTACATCTCTTTGAGCTTCTAGAATGGCAAGAATCCTCAACTCTGTCTCAACATTGAAGGCAAGAGCTCTGTTCAGTGAATAGTCCCATTCAAACTTCGATTTCAACAGCCGCCCTGAACGGGAGTACTTAGCAATGTCCTTATTCTGCCAGGAAAGAAAGCATACATATACATCATTGTTCTTTACAGTTGGTAGGAAAGATAGAAACAGTTACTTAGAACGTGCTGAGAGTAATGTGCTAAACCTTTTTCATTTACCACCTCATAGAAGGGCAAGAATAAAACTGAATGCAGGCTTTGGAAATGTTAGTATAAATATCAAATCCTTCCCCAGTTACTCATTTGTAGGTCATGCCTATCTGGAATTATTATTCCTTCTCATTTATGCCTCTTTTCTTTACATATGTTACAATTACTTTCTGCCACTTTAAGAACAGTAACTCATTCCTCCTGTTAATCTAATGACTGTGACATACACCAGGTGATGTCAAGTATTATATACACATATACACCTTGTGATAGTACATCTGTTTTTGGTAATGCGAGGAAAGCTACTATACTACAACGTAGGAGCTACCAGGCCCCAGTTTCCCAAAGATGAACTACATATAAAAGCTTCATTCTGCAGTTATAAGGTTAATATCAATTTTCCCATGTATTTTATAACACTAACTAACCAAGTTAAATCAAAGGCACTCACCTTATCTTTTTTTTCCACTGGATAAGTAAATTCTTCCTCCAAATAACGCTTACCATTCCTCTCCTTGATGGCTAAAATCCTAAAAACACAAACAATAGAAAATATTATAAACTGTCTGACTTAATTATACACACCCTAGAACATATAGAGCCAATAATAACTTTTTGAAACTTCACAATCCTTTAATGCAGCATCATTAAATTCACAGCCATCTAAAGCTTACTATTATACTCACCCTGAAGTCTATATAATCATATTCCCTTTAAATAACTGTGTGATCCATTAAAGGTTCAAATATGTGGTGCCTGTTGATTACATTAGTAGATGACCTTAACTAATAAGGAAAAGGATACAACCATAATGCCCTTCTCTCAACCTTTCCAAATTGACCTAATGTGCGCTAGGTATTTAGTTAAGTATGTCTTTTAAAGGTGATAATAAAAAGTGAATGATTAAGTGATAGTACAGTTTTACTTCAAATTTATTTCCTGGTACCACTTCATAATTACCATCAACAAATAAATCGAAATGAATAAATTTAATTGAATATTGAGTTCAATGGAAATCAGCCATGAGAAGCACTCTGCTAGAGAACCAATTTTGACACTGATCCATACCTTATTGTGGATAGGTCGCCTAAATCATCAAGTTAGCTAAACTAAGGACTCCCTACCCTTGAGCAATTTGGAGGTAGCATAGTATCTGTTCAGCAATTTCAGTCATCCTAGTACATTCCCATACCTGATGGCTTTATTTATAAAAGTATGGTAAGTATTTTCAGCTAACATTTGTGAATCTATCTCTGTACAAGGATGCAGTCTGCACTTTCTGCACTGTTTAGTGCAACTTAAAGAATTCATTTGAGGCCATAACAAAATGTTGACACCCAGGTTTGGGAGATGATAGGACCATCAACATGTTGACGCTCATCCACTACATTTTTTTTCCCCATTTGTTAAAATGGATATTCTTTGCTGTGACAAGCTGCCTGTGTATTTTCTTCTAAATTACCCCCTGGGTGCAAGGAACGGCCTGGAATACTATCCACAGGCAGCATGCGGGACTAAATACGGGGCAGCAAGATTGCTAAACGAGAATACTACCACAGCACATAATAATCTCCAGGAGATACTGCTAACATATCTGTTGCAGATCATTTCACTATACCTCTCTATGCATACAGCACTGAGAGATGCAGTGGGAGAGCCTGAGATGCAGGAGAGCAAGTGTTGAGTGGAATCCTATCAGTCTGAGCCAGAAAATTCAGATGCAAAAGATATTACCCAATATCACTAAACTATAATTCTGGAATACTAGGGCAAAGTTCCTAAAGATATATCAGTAAGAATTTTTACATGACAATATCACATCAAATTTAACAATACACATAAGAATATAAGCTTAAAAATCTTATGAACACGTACCTGATTTTTGAAGTCCTAATATGGATAAGTTTGTTTGAATCATCTGGATGAAACATTAAATAATCTGGAGACACTTGCTGTTCATTCCTGTCTTCCCACATCACTTGTCCACCTTCCAGCAATTCCTCTGAAGCAAGGTCATGAACCTGTAAGTCATGGCAGCATTGTAAAAAGGTTACTACAGATGAATCATATATATATATGGCAATTGATGACAATCTAATAACCCATAGAGTCATATTTGCCACATATATGGCTTGTTATGTCATTTATGTAAGGTGCTATTCACCATGATCATAGCATCATTTTGCAAGAGCTGTCAAAATCTGGCACATTGTTTTCTAGTGTCAGTCACTGTGAGTGAGCACATATTAGCTTCTAAATCTGGTTATGACTGTCTGGCAAGTTTCCTCCAGTAACACCCACCATTCCATTCCTATTCCCTTTGTACTCTCTGCTCTCCTTGAGTCAGTCATACAGGCATGATTCCTGTCCCTATTTTTTGCTGTGAATGGAGCATTAAGGATGTGAAAAAGTAATTTTGAAACTCTAAGGTATATTTTATGTAGGCAAATTCACCTCTCCCCTATTCTCCCTCAAATAATTAATATTCCTTATAATGAATAACAGAACAATCTACCGTACTGATACAAAGGCTAGAGAAGAACCCACTATAAACAAAGTAAACCCATTTTTGTGTGTTATGGGTTTTCTAACACTGTATATCAAACAAACACTTCCTGATTTCTTATCATCTTTTTACTGTTCATAAAATAAGACACATGTTTTATTCCTTTCTGTAATAAATATACTTTCAATATTTCAGTTTTTTTTATGTAACCTGCCCTACTTTTCACTTACATACAAAGAAACATCAAATGACCTAATAGCTTTGACATTTCACTGTGTGGTATGTACCTGACACATCTTCTGGTGTGTAAAATTAAGGTCTTAAAATCTTGAACCAAACTTTTCCTTGCTAAACCTGAAAAATCAAACCTTAATTGCAGGCGATGGACAGGCTGGAGGTCAATCTCTACTAGAAAACACAGATGAGTAAAAAAAGGAAAGTAACTATTCTTACCTGCAAACAAATCTGACATGGCTCTGATATAGGCCCATGGACAAGCACCTAAGCCAAGAATGTCCATGTGTGTGTAAGCTGCAAAGAGCAGAGGAGGTGCTTCTACTACCATATCCTTTGCATATGTATACTGGGATGACTTGAAAATCTTTTGATGTGCTCTTCATCTGGAAAAAGAATAAGTATACATAAGACCCCACTGTATGAAATAAATACCTCCGATAACCAAATAACAAATAGATTTTTAGTACTTCCAATACAATTCTGTATTGAAAATCCACAGTCAAATTATAGATAACTAGTTCTATCTATTATAAGATAAAATGGTGCATAAATTTTTAATATTAGTTTTAAAAATATACTGCATATATAAATTTGTATAAACAGAAAAACTATGTCACAGGAGAATAACAAGTTTCAAATTTGCTCATTAATTAACACAAATCATTCTGTCCCATTTGTTCTAAGGTATTTCCTCATAATTTTCTCTTCGTAACATCACCAGATGTTCTATGTTTCCTACAGATAACATCAAAATTCATTGTCAGCATTTAGAACAATTGTAAACCTATTTTTATCCATGCCAAACACTCACCCTGATGATTTCCTGTGCATCATAAATCAAACTAAAGCTCTTTTCTGTAAGAACAAGCAAGAGGCCTTCGTGAATCTCAACATCACGCATCTTCCCATACTTCTTCTTGTCCTCTTCCCCTGAAAATTATCATAACTCATATCAAATCACAATTTCCCATATTAATAAGAAAGAAACAGCCTCAGATCCTACAGTATCATATCATATTGCAATAATGCTACTTACTACAATATCAATATCTAATAATTTTACACAGTTAGTCACTACTTTGCAAATATAATAATAATTACATAAGTGCAATGCTAAACACATAATTTGAAGCATCCATCTAATCCAAACATGAAAGTAAGCAAGTAGCACTAATTCCCTTCCACCATTTCCCATGTTCAGGAAAGCAAGAAGAGCTAAAATCTAGATATATTAGTAAAACAAAATAAAACAAAGAAAATCATTATAGATATAATAAATACAAAACTGGCTCCTTTGCATAAGAACATGAAAAGCCCTCACGACATT